CTTTCCAGATTAGCAGCTGAAAAGGAGGCCAGTCTTCTTCAGTATGAACAATGCCTAAAGGAGATATCTGCTTTGGAGAAGAAAATCTCTCTTTCTGAAGATTATGCAAGAATGCTTGATGAACAAATGAGTAGTTCAGAGACTGAAGTCAAAGCACTGAAGATAGCTCTTGATGAACTGAAAGAAGAGAAGGAAATAGCATCCCGCCAGTATGAGCAGTGCTTGGAGAAGATTGCGAAAATGGAAGCTGTAATATCTTGTGCTCAAGACGACGCAAAACGTCTGAAAGGTGAGCTTATGATGGCTAAAGCAAAACTCGAGACAACCGAAGAAAGGTGTGCTCGTTTGGAGCAATCAAACCATTCACTGCAGTTTGATGCAGACAAACTTGTGCAGAAGATTGCTATTAAGGATCAAGAGCTTGCAGAAAAGCTAGATGAGTTGAAGAAAGTTCAGAGTCTAATGAACGACGAGCAGTCGCGATTCGTACAAGTTGAAAACACTCTCCACACTCTGCAGAATTTGCATTGTCAATCTCAGGAGGAGCAGAGAGCTCTGACCTTGGAGCTAAAAAATGGTCTCATGATGTTGAAGGATTTGGATATATGCAAACATGGTATGGAGGAAGAGCTTCAACGAGTTAAGGACGAAAACAAAATGCTGAATGAACTACATTTTTCTTCTGATACTTCAATGAAGAATTTAGAGGATCAATTATCTAGCTTGAAGGAGATGAAGGACAAACTTGAAGAAGTTGTTGCACAAAAAGAAGATCAGAGTAACTTGCTTGAGAAAGAGATCCTTCATTTGAGAGAAGAAATTAAGGGCTTAAGCGGAAGATACCACGGCATAACGAGACAATTGGAGGCAGTAGGATTGGATCCCGACTCGCTCGAATCGTCAGTGAAGGAATTTCAGGAGGAGAATGCCAAGCTGAGGGGGGCATGTGAAAAGGACAGGAACAAGATGGAAGCACTTCATGAGAAGCTCAGTTATATGGATGAACTTTCAAAGGAAAATTCCATTCTTAAGGTATCTCTAGCTGAACTGAATGCTGAATTGGAGAAAGTCAAGGAATCCCAGGAAGAAAAAACTGCTCTTGTTGCAGAGAAATCTTCGTTGCTTTCGCAGTTGCAGAATGTAACTGAGAATATGTTGAAACTTTTAGAGAAGAACACATTGCTAGAAGACTCCCTATCTGGTGCAAACAAAGAGCTTGAAGGTTTAAGAGCAAAATCAAAGGGCTTAGAAGAATTCTGCCAGTTATTGAAGGATGAGAGGTCAAATCTTCTGAATGAACGAGGGGTGTTGGTGGGTCGACTCGAAAGCATCGAACCAAGACTAGGAAATCTCGAAAAGAGGTTTACAAATCTTGAAGAGAAGTATTCTGATCTTGAAAATGACAAAGACTCTGCCTTATATCAAATAGAAGAATTGAGATTTTCCCTTCTCATGGAAGAACAAGAGCATACAACTTACAAACAATTGACCGAGGCGAGACTTGCTGGTTTGGAGGATGATGTCCATGCCCTGAGAGAAGAAAGTAGAGTAGGCAAGGAAGAAATCGAAGAACTACTAGATAATGCTGTAAACGCCCAGGTCGAGATCTATATCTTGCAGAGGTTTGTTGAGGATATGGAAAGGAAAAATATTTCTATGCTCATTGAATGTGAACAATATGAAGAGGCATCCAAGTTATCAGATAAACTTATTGCTGATTTGGAAGGCGAAAATCTCGAGCAACAAGTCGAAGTGGAGTTTATGTACAACGAAATCGATAAACTCAGAGCTGGAATCCGAAAGGTATTAATGGCTCTTCGAATTGATCAAGATTATGTGCAGGGAAATATGAAAGACGAGAAAATCCTGATAGTGGATATCTTGACCAGAATTGAGGACTTGAAAGCTTCTGTGTTCAAAAATAAGGACAAGAAGCAGCAACTGCTAGTTCAGAACTCAGTTTTATTAACTCTTCTCAAGCAACTGAGTTTAGAGAGTGAAGAACTTCTATTAGAGAAAGATAACATTATGCAGGAGTTAAAGATCATGAAGGGGCAGCTAGCAATGCATGAAAACGACAAGCACGAGCTTCTGAAGTCGAAAAACGAGTTGATGATGCAAGTTAGCCAGTGGGAGCAACATGAGCTACTGCTGAAGGCCGAGATCGAAACTCTAAATGAGAAGCTAGTAAATCTTCAAGGGACCTGCCTTATGCTGGAAAAAGAAAATCATAATGTTGCTGAAGAAAAGAAATCTTTGCTCAAGAAATTTTTAGACCTTGAAGAAGGCAAGAACATTATTCAACAAGAACAGCACGATTTAATCGTCCGGGAAGTGATTGCGTTCAATATCCTATCATCGGTTTTTGAAAGCTTCAAAACCGAGAAATTCATGGAAACGGAAAAGCTCGTTCAAGACATATGTCGTCTCCAAGTGGTGAATTCTGATACAAAGGAAGAAGTTGGAAAGTTAGCAGAGAAATTTCAGGTGAAGGAAGTGGAAAATTTGCATTTAAATGGTTCAGTAGAGAAATTGGCTAAGGAGCTACATGAAGCAAAGGACATGAACGATCAACTTAGCTATCAAATTTTACTTGGAAATGATTTTCTGAGGGTGACAGCCCAAGAGCTTTCTGAAACAGAAGAGAAGCTTAAAAATTCACATCTTGAACTGTCTGAAAAGTGCTCAAACCAGGAGAATGAGATTCAAAGCCTTTGTGAACTGAACGGAAACTTAAAATACGAAGTCGATTTATTGCACGACGAGATCGAGAAATGCAAAGTTAAAGAGGAATGTCTGAATTCAGAACTACAGGAGAGAAGAGATGAATTCGAGCTCTGGGAAGCGGAGGCCACGACGTTTTACTTCGATCTTCAAATCTCATTGATCCGGGAGGTCTTATACGAACATACGGTTCATGAACTTGCACAGGCTTGTGAAACTGCTGGGGATGAGAATGCTGCAAAAACTACAGAGATTGAACAACTCAGAGAAAGAGTAGGTTCCCTGGAAACTGAAATTGGAGAGATGGAAGCACAGATGTCTGCTTATAAGCCTGCCATAGCTTCTCTGAGACATGATGTAGAATCACTCAAGCATATTGTTCTTCCTCAAACTAGGGATATCTGTAAGGGTTTTGTAGGAGAAGAGGTAAAGCTTTTTTCTTATTAAATATATGCTAAAACACCTGCAGCAGTACTTTAATGCACAAATTTACTACGATTTAGCTCAAAATAGCCAAAGTTTGTGCTTGGTATCATTGAACTTCTTCAGTTCCTTTGTTATTGGATGAGCTGAGCGTGAAGGATAATGTTGCTGAATTCTAATAATGATTTATGTTCATATGTTGCCAGGAGGAGGAAACCAAGATTCATGTTCATCACAGTAGCTGTTATGTCCACAAAGATGAGATATTGGATTTGCAGAAGATTAGGGCCGTGATAAAGGCAGTCGAGATTGCTGTGATCGAAGAAAAGGAAAAACTGAACAAAGAAGCTGCTGAAAAACGTGTCGAAAACTCGAAATCGGAAGGAAACTCGGTTCAAAAAGCAACGACTAAGGAAGGGAAGGGTTTGAGGGATGGAATTAGTGATAAAGTAAAGGCAAGAAAGAACAAACCTGAGAATGGAATATTGATGAAAGATATTCCATTGGATCATGTATCAGATAGTTCATTCCAGAGAAGAAGCAAAAGGGAATGTAGTGAGACCAGTGATCAAATGCTGAAGTTGTGGGAAACTGATGAACAAGAATGCGAGCAGAGTTTGATTGATAGCGTGCCACAAAGCCCGTCGGATGCGCAAATCGAGTGCCCACAGTCAGAAATTGTAGAACATAAAAGTCCAGATTGTTCTTCAGAGCTGCAAGTAGAGAAGGAGTTGAGCGTTGATAGATTGGAGCTATCGCCTAGCATTAGAGAACGAATTCGACGAGGTCGAAAAGGAAAGGTTTTGGAGAGACTTGATTCAGATGTTGTTCAGTTGACAGGTCTTCTAACAAGCGTTCAGGATTTGAAAAAGAGAATGGAAGTGAACACAGTGGAAATGGCTAGAAACAATGAATACGACACGGTCGAGAAACATTTAAAAGAAGTCGAGGAAGCGATCTTCCAGCAAGTAAATATCAATGGTCAACTGAAGCAGAGTTTGGAACGCAGTCCATCGTGTTTCGAGCGAAGGTCATCAGTAGAAAGCGAGGCAACTGGAAACATGCCCCTAAACAAACTAACAGACCAGGCACAAAGAGGATCAGAGAAGATAGGAAAACTACAGTTTGAAGTACAGAACATTCAGCGTGTTATTATGAAGCTCGAATCCGAGAAAACGAGAAATGGGAAGAACAGATTCTCGAAGAGTAAACCAGGTGTTATTCTGAGAGATTTCATCTACAGAAGCAGAAAACGCAGCAGCGAAAGACGGAAGAAGGCATGTGCTTGTGGATGTACAAAACCTTCTACTCATGGAGACTGAGTGTTGTAATGCTGAAGAACAGCATAATGTTATAGAGGCAGCAGAGCTAGATATTATCCCCTTGTAAGTTGTATGTACAATTGTAGTTTGGTGCTCGGTAGATCATCTCTGGATCTTTTTTTTTTTTTTTTTTTGAAAAAAATGCTCCCCTTTTGATCTTATGATGAACTATAATATAGACAGATTGATGTAGTGATATAACCTCCTTTCTAAAACTTATAAAATCTTGAGCTACCTTCATTGATTGATTGATTTTGCAGAATAGGGCCCTACATTGAGATGCATACATAATTGCCAAAATCTTGGCTTTGTGATGCTCAAGTAAACAAATGACCTGACTTCACCTTAGTTTAACGGGATCCGTTCTACAATTACTCAGCGATCAATGTATTGTGTAGCACAAGATTACGGAGAAGTCTTTTCCATACCTATCTCTGCCCTTATGAAAAGTCTTTTCCATCCCCATCTCTGCCCTTTTTCATTTTCCATACCCACGAAATTCTTCATTGAAGATCTAAAAACATTTAAGAGTGAAAAAAACGGTGCAATTTGCTAAAATTGATTCAATGAAAGTATTCTTAACTAAGGATTTGGTAGCACAAAATTGCGATCCTCAAAACCAACTCTCTGACTAGATCGAGAAGCGGGTTAAAACTAAGTTTGTGACAAAGCGGGGCAAAACTAAACAAAAACAGATCAAATGAAATTCAACATAACTGAACTTAAGCTCCAACAATTTCGGTAGGCCCCTCGTCTGCAGCTTCATCAGCAGGTCTCTCAACCTTCACGCCAACGTCTTCTGAGTAGTCTCCATGAACCTACGAACACAGATCACGGCAATGATAAGACTCTGAAATACTATTATAATTTCATAGGCTACGGATCAAGTTCAAAACATTAAGAGTATAAACCATGTATATACCTCCATCAACTTTCCAAGATCGAATTTGGGTGCTTTCAAAATTTTTACTTTCCGGATAAACACATTTTGAAGAGGGTAGATGCTGGATGTTGCCTTTTCAATCTCCTTGCCGATG